GACATAGCCATTACACTAACTGCTGGTCCCATACATTTTTTGAAATATACATTTAATCACTTCACGTTTTTACAGTGTACAACATCGTTTTCCCAGCATGAACACTGTATGTATCAGTCAAGTCAACAGATAACTTTTCATTTTTGTGTTTGTTACATGTTTGTTTGTGTTTTCCCTAATTCCTCTTTTCTTTTCTAATTCTTTTACTTTCTCAGAATAACTGTCCCTAGACTGAGACGAACACTGTGTGTGTGTTTTTATAAAGAGGTTTTTGCCATAGGGTGCATATGTTCACCAGAGAGAGAAAGAGACAGACAGAGACAGTGAGAGGGAAAGTGAGAAATCACTCCTTGGGGTATGGCCATGTCACACACAATCCCTTTTTTATTCTCCTCCTGGAATCTTGGACATGCATGCACACGTGCCCAGTGTGATATTCAAGCCACCAGGTCTGGGATACAAACCACAGTTGGCCATGTGGAGTTACTAAGTGGGCGTTATTAATGGAAGAAGGGGGACCAGCAGTTAGCGTAATGTCTATGTCATTGGACTCCCATGTAGTTGACTGCAGTTCGAGTCTTGGACCTGGTGGCTTAAACTCACGCTGGGCGCGTGTGCATGCGTGCCCAAGATCCCGAGAGGAGAATGGAGGAGAAGGGATTGCAGCGTGGCCATCCCCCCTGGGGGGTATTTTCTCGCTTTCTGTCTCTCTGTCTCTTTCTGGCGAGTGCACACACCCTATAGCAAAAACCTCTCCAAAAAAAGAAAAAAAGAAACAAAAATAATGAAAGAAGGGATCAGGGATATAGAAGGAAAAGCTAAATTAAATGTGGAGGATACAAAAGAGGGGCAAGTTGTATAAAAAGGGCAACTGATGGTATTGTGTTGAAAGCCAGAGCAGAGGAACCATATTAAGAAGTATTGGAGTGGGGAGAGCAGATGGCTTAGTGGTTATGTTACTGGACTCCCACATGGCCGACTGCAGTTTGAGTCCCAGACCTGCTGGCTTGAAACTCACAACAGGCATGTATGTGTACATGCACACCCAAGATACTGGAAGGAGAATTGAGAAGGGATTACAGAGTGGCTATCCTCTTTGGGGGATGATTTCTCACTTTCCTGCTTACGGTCTCTGTCTCTGTCTGTAAAGTGTATGTACTCTAAGGCTAAATCCTCTCAAAAGAAGAAGAAAAAAAAAGAAAAGTAAAGAAACAAAGAAAGGAAGGAAGAAAGAAAAAGAAATATTAAGGGGCCAGCAGGTGGCATGGTGGTTGGGATGCTGGACTCCCACATGGCCAACTGGGATTCGAGTTCTGGACCTGGTGACTTGCTATCTCACTTTCTCTCTTCTCTCGTAAGTACCCTGTAGCAAATTAAAATAAATAATGATAAATAAAATCAAATAACTTTTTAAAGAAAGAAATATTAGGCTGCAATTGACGCGAAAGCTATTTCTACGTCCACGGTCTTAAAAAGGGAAGGTCTTGGTCTTGTTGAACTTTTACTTCTTTTTACCTGTTAGGAAACTTCCCCATAAAAAGGAAACCTTCCCACCATACCTCATTCTCCATACACTTCTAAGGATGCTCTGGCTCCTCAAGATGGTATCACTGAAGAGTCCACTTTCACTGGATCTGTTCCTCCCTTGAACAACTTTTAAAACCAACAAACAAGCCAACAAAAAACCAACTCTGTCTCCAGGAAGGGAAGGGAGACACACTCTGGAAATGTCTAAGAGACACAATTGCATTTCCTCTACTATTGGTTAAGTCAAACTAAAGCAGATACAATAACAGAGGTCCTTACAATATGTGAGGCTTTTAGGACCCAATTCTCATGGAGCTTCATTAAATAAATTGTTACATTGTCACCGTATTCTCTGAGGAATAGAATTTTCTAGAACTAAGAAGCTAAAACAAAGTAGACTGTGTTGGCAGTCTTATCCCTTGGGGTAATTTTGAAGCTAATGTCAGTCTCTTTTATTTAATAAGATTTTTTTTTTAACTTACTATTACTATTTTTTATTTTTTTTATTTTTTAAGGCTTTGCCATAGAGTGATGCACTCCCCGGAGAGAGAGAGAGAGAGTGAAAGAGAAAGAGAGGAAGAAAAATAACCC